GTCTCCGCATTTCTGAATGGGATGACCTAATAATAATCACATGGTTATTGTTCATGACTATCGGTCACCGAGAAAGCGACGACCACAAGTTATTAGGTATCTCCAATGCTCCCTGAGGCTCCCCAAAACTTCAGAACTCGCGAATCAAACAGGCTATGAATACTATGCCGTTTTTCTCGACACAGCACAAGTGTCCGACGCAAATAGTTGTAAGAGAGGACCCATTCTGAAACCTATGGAGGTTCCCAACCAAGCACAGCAGGAGTATGCTGCGTTGACTAGTCTATTTCCGTAGTTTGATACACATTCGACTTCCGTTGTCGGTTTGCAGTAGCATTTTAATGAGCAATAGATTATTTTGGTCAACTCATTTTCAGTTCGTGTTTAATGCTTTCGAATGAATTTCATACGAATATACGAATTCACCGTCAGAAAAGGCTGAACCGGTCGGAATCTAATCCTTACCATCAGGTCTCGTGTGCAAAATGGCGTACAGTTCCCCCATGCCCGATAAACCCATCAGGGCACATCGCCGTTGTGAAAATTGCAGCAAGAGGGGGAGGGGAGCTACTTCGTCGCTTGATGAGAGAAGATCGTAAGCTCAGGGGCCACTCAGCATCGAAGAGTGGTCACTCGAAAGATGGTAAAGTTTTAGACATCCTCATCAGAGACATCAGAAACACATATGCATGCACGGAAAATTATTACGGAGAAGTTACACTCAGCCGTCACCTCTAGATGCTAGTTAAATGCATGGCGCAATAGGGGAATGCGATCGATCGGCCGGATAAACTATTTGCCTGAGGCCCTCAAGTCTTTCAAGCTCAGAATGGCGAAATAAGCTCACATAACGTCTAACTAGGCGATTTTATTTATATTTGGTTCACAGTGCAATTTTCTGACTTTTTATTATTATATTATTTGAATATAATGTTTCTGTGAATGATCACTGCTGTTTAACGCCGCAGTACAAGTTACCAAAATGCCGAGTTGTGCAAAAGTGCTCGCAGGCGGAAGTCAAAACCCGCACTTACGCTTATCAGGGCGAGTGTCGTATCTGTTACGCCCACCCGGGCCTCATTACCCTCTTCAGCTTTATGCCGTAACCTTACAGCACTCACACGTTTAACTTGGTGAGCCGGTCAGCCGTAATCGTTAGATATCGGCATGGAACCGCAAGGCCGAAGGCTTTACAAGTTTTTGAAGCTGTTTTGTTATGTTATGTTTCTGTTATTGTTTTTATAGTGTTTCTAATATAGTGTTTCAACACTTATTCTTTCCCAGCCGGCTGACTCAGACCTTCCAATGGAGGCAACATTCTAACGGCCACTCTAAGCTTGAAGGCTGTACAATGCTTACGATGTTTAAGCTCAGCGTTATGAGTCCCGCTGCTTGGTCACTGTCGATCTACATGACCAAGCTGGAGTTGGTGGGTTCTTTGGAGTCCTCTCACTCTGCTCTATGGTTCCATTTTCAAGTTGTCACTTCAGACTCGTTGACCTTCACATTTTTAAAATGTCCCTAAATCCCTTCAAAAAGTTTGACCGGAAAATTCCGAAACTACTAACACATATATATGAAGCACCGCACCACCTTTGAAGGCATTGGCACGATGAATCCCTGAAACCGAGTAGGATTAATACGCCTGGCAGGACGGAATTCCGCGACCCTGAGCAGGCGCTGCGTAGCGCCTTTTCCAAGGAAGGTACCCTTATAAGGGCCCTATCAAGCTACAACATACCGACCCGAACGCCCACCACGCCCGCCCGCCCACAAATGGACGACCGTTCCTGACGCTCGTATTGCTTCATTTGCTAAGTAAATTATGAAGCGAAGGGATTGGTATGAAGCGGCTGCATTGCCGGGTGGATATATGAGTTCACATGCAGTCATATCTACTGAAGCCTTATTGGCAAGATGCCTACGGGAAACTCGTCCGAAATTGTTTCTTATCATTAAAAGCTAAGGCTTTTCTTTGCAGGTTTTTGCAGGTTTCCGTTTCACTTCCCTTTTTTGCCATTTTCCCCCACTTCCCTACTACCACTTTAGACGTAGTACCAGATTATCGTGCCACTGCCTTTAAATTCGGAGTGTCGAGCTTTTTCTTCGTGTAGAGTTTACTATTTAGTTTTACCGACTTCGCTCTATGTTCAATGCCGTCCACTTTTCTTACCAAAGTTAGGGATTGAATTTGGGTGGATTGTGCCAATGGTGTACTTTGACTTTGCGCGCTTCGCAGAACGCGATTACCGTCGAAAATATGAATAGTGCTCTAATGAAGGTCTTCTTTTCAACCTCACGAAGTTGACATCTAGTACTGTAATACCAGTAAAATTCAGCCATTCTCACGGAGAGCAACTGAACTGGTTTTCAAATAGGCGTCGATTTATAGGCGAGTAGTTTAGAAGTCTGGCCGGTGTATTGCACCATAACGGTGCCTTTTGTTGGAAAGGCGCCACGCAGTGTCGTTGCCTCAGGTGCAAAAATATTGGCCCTGCTGGTGCTGCAATCCCCACGCAGAAGATTATCGCCACTGTTCCTAACTTTCTCATTGGTGAGAGTGGAGTTCACTTTTATTTTCATGCATAATTATGAAAACAAACAAGCGCGTTTTTCAAGAGTCTTCTCGAAGGTTTTTCATAAACACCACGATATCAAAACAAAGATCGCCGTGGTGAGTAGTCCTAGGCGGGAGACACTTCCTGAAATGACACTACTTCTTAGCATTTCCCTGTGTTGACATTTGCAGAACAATTTCATGGGAAACATACCTGTTGGCTTAAGAGCGTCTTCAATCCATGTGTTAAGGCTGTTCAGAATCCGTGCTCTGGCATCTGTCAGTGACTGCTTGTCGTTTGGTGAGGCTGGATACATGTCAGCACAATGAGCCACACCTACGAGTAAAGTTGGAGTAAGCCACTACATCTACGAAACCGTTGTTTTGACATACCATCAATTATAAAAGCATCTATGTTCTTGTCAGGATCTCCAACAGGGAGGCCAAGTGACTTCCATGGATCGATCGAACCGTTTGGAAACACAACCTTGTTGCCCTTCAAATAGTAGGTTTAATCCACAAACAGCTCAAGGATTTGTTCCTTCTCGAATTCCACCTAGCCCTTCCACTAGTGGTCTATTGTGATTGGTTCTTATTCTGGAATCTGTTTTCCCCATGACTACCTGTTGTCCTTTGTTCGCATTGAGATGGAGAGCCAGCTTCTTGGGTAGGGTTTTCGGATAGTCAATGTTGACTGCATTCAGCTTTTAGTTTTCGCAAGACATTTCGAACAGGTTAAAACGGAATGCTCGAAAAAGCTGGAGCATGTGCCCAGTTGAGGGACGGACGATAGAACCGCCAATTTGGTCGCCGTCGCGCGCGGCGGCATGCGTCTCGCAATTAGCGTGCGGGGGGGGGGTGGGGAGAGTTCCGGGGATGCGTGCTGGTCTCGGTGGGCAGATTTGGAGCGTGGGGAATCGCAGGAGAGTGATAGGGTGCGAGTGCGCCGCCGACGAGAAGGCCTAATCCGTGCAGCCTGCAGCTGTGGAATGGGGGTCTGGGAAGCGGCGGTTTGGAGCGTGGTTCCGAAAAGGCGTGGACGCGAGATGCGGGCGGAGGTGCGACGTCAGAGGGGGAGCCTGGCGAGCTAGCGTTGGTCGAATTTCTTCTCGCCGAAAACAGTAACAATCATGGGCCTCATTTCCCTGAACCTGAGGGAACCACCGACTGAACGACGTCGGCTGGGACCGCTCGGGCGAGGCTGCTAAATCACAGGGCCAACGGAGATTTAAGTCGCCCAGGACTAGGATGACGATCTGTACTTTCAACGCACGGACGCTTGCATCGGAAGCTCACATCGAAGATCTGATGTTGCAAGCCAGGAAGATCAAGTACGACGTCATCGGACTGACCGAGACGAGGAGGCATCGCCCGCTACACGCCGTATACGAGACTGGAGAAGAACTGTTCCTCGGAACATGCGACAGCAGAGGCGTTGGCGGTGTGGGTGTCCTCGTCAACACGTTCCCTTGCATGAACATAGGATTCGCTAGCGAAAGGTATCTGACGACCGAATATGTATTGCAAGAATGAGAGGATGTGGTTCAACTCCAGCTTTGACAATCTTCGTCGCCTACGCACCAACATCAAGCTACGACGAGGATGAGCTCGAAGCGTTCTATATGGAATTGGAGAAGTTCTACAAAGAGATCACACCTTCTTCAAAGCGTCCATCGTCGGTGATTTCAACGCTAAGATCGAACCAAGAAGAACGGCTGAAGAACTTCACATCGGAACTCACGGCACGGAGTGGAATGAGCAGGGTGAAAGGCTAGCTGAGTTTATCATGTCGACCCATATCCATCCATGGTAACTCGCAGTTCCAGAAGCCCTACTCTCTACGCTGGACATGGGAGTCTCCTGGTGGACAATTCCATAACGAGATCGACCACATCATCTGCAATCGAAGGTTTTGCCTGACCGATGTCGCTGTTGTCCCTAAGTTCTACACGGGATCCGACCATCGTCTCCTTCGCGCAAGATTCCTTTTCGATGCGAGAAGAGAGAGCCGCAATGTTCAAGAAGCGAAGCCATCAGGATCACTTCACTTCTCTCGCTGGGCTCTGGGAGGATTCTGTCATCGACAACATCGACGAGGAATACGAACGGCTTGTTGCACATCTTCACGACTGCGCCAAGAAGTCAGAGGGTTCCAAGATTACCAAGAAGCGTCTATCTCTGGAACTCTCGAGCTGATTCGCCAACGTGGAGCCGCACGAGCCGCAGGCAATTACCAGCTGACGTCTGAGCTTGCGAAGCTATGCAGAGGAGCGATAAAGGAAGACCTCAAGGAGAGAAGAGCAGCAGTACTGGTGGAAGCCGCAGAGGCTGGGAAGAGCATACGCAACGCCCGCCGCGACTTCGCCAACTGTAAGACCAAGATGACCGCCCTCCGGATGGAACAATCACCGCATCCAGAAGGGCAATGGAGAAGGTCATCCACGACTTCTACTCGGATCTCTTTGACAGCCACGTCCACCTGCAACCATACCGCTTTGGAGCAGGATGGATATGTCGTTCCTGCAGTTCTCTCTTCCGAAGTCCGACACGCCATCTCGTCGGTGAAGATGACACTCGTTCCGACAGCGATCCACCCCGAAACAGCGGAACAAGTCTTCGCCAGTTCTCGTCTGGCTCGACTCTTCACGCGCTACCTGTCGGAATGCAAGGTACCCACCTCGTGGAAAACCAGCAAGACTGTGTTGCTGTACAAGAAGGGAGACCTGTACGACATTGGCAATTATCGCCCAATCTGCCTGCTGTCTGTAGTCTACAAACTCTTCACACGAGTCATCCTTAACAGGATTGGCAGAACACTAGACGAAGGACAGCCATGCGAGCAAGCAGGGTTTCGAAGAGGATTCAGCACGATCGATCACATCCACACGGTAACGAAGCTCATTGAAGTATCGCGAGAGTACAAGATGCCGTTATGTCTCACGTTCATCGACTTGAAGAAAGCCTTCGACTCCGTTGAGACAGAAGCGGTTATCGAAGCCCTGGGCAACCAGGGTATTCCTACTCAGTACATCAGGATTCTTCGTGAGCTCTACAGTGACTTTACGACCAGAGATCTCACCATTCTACAAGGAGATCATCATTGATGTGAAGAGAGGGGTCCGACAGGGCGACACCATCTCGCCCAAGCTCTTCAGCGCCTCTCTCGAGAACGTCAAGACATGGGAGGAAGATCGACGGTCGGCAACTACACCATCTCCGCTTTGCTGACGAGATCTTTTGATAAACACACCAAACATCGAGCAAGCGGAATGAATTGCTGGCTGAATTCGACTGCGCGTGTGGAAGAATCGGTCGGCTGAATCTAACGAAGACGATGTTCATGAGAAACGGATTGGTATCTGATGCCCCATTCACGCTCAACGGAACGACCATCTCTGAATGCTCTAGCTATGTGTACCTAGGTCGTGAAATCAATATGATGAATGACCTAGCTCCAGAGCTGAGCAGCAAGAGAAGCGAGCGGCTTGGGGAGCCTTCGAGAACGTCGAGGGAGTAGTGAAGAAGACGAGGAACATCAAGCTCCGTGCCCACCTCTTCGATTCCGCGTCCTTCCTGCCTTGACGTACGCCTGACTCAACGAAAGCAGGATGAGTATGCGGTTGGGTTTCAACGCGCCATCGAAAGGGCGCTGCTCGGAGTTCCCCGCTACACGCAAGTGTGAGAGAGGAATCTGGAGCTCCGCCACTCTCCCAACGATCGAAGATCAGAGACGCCGCCGCATCTGCCAAGGTTTCGAAGATCAGGTGGGCCGGACACGTCATGCGTTTCGAGGACGACCGCTGGACCAGAGCAGTCACCGACTGGATTCCACGGGATGTCAAGCGAACGCCTGGACGACCGCCTACGCGATGGTCAGACTTCTTCGTGAAAGCTCTGAACGAACGGTATGAAGTTCAGTGTCCCGAGCAGAGTTCACTGGCAACTCGTTGCCGTTAGCAGCGCGACGAGTGGAGACGGTTACTTGGCCGCCGCTCGAGGAACTCATGATCAGCGCGGCGAGCAGTAGGTGACACAGGTGATCACAGTGATAGGAGCCTAATCACAGCATCCTGTCCCACCCCTTAACATTCGAACTTGAGTCGCCAAGCAGGAGGACTCGGCTCGGCGTCGTTTTCCACGCCTACCTCCATGCCTACCTACGCGGCAAATTACCATTCTCTTGTCATGAATTCGCCCCTTGGGTTCTTGCCAGCGTGGCGAAGGCGACGTTGCAAATGGCGTCACGTGCGCGACGTTAGCACCAGGGCGTGATCCATTTAGCGCGGAAAAGCTATAGCATGACGAATGAAATAGAGTAACCCAGGATAGATGGTTTTTAAGCTCCACCGCAACGTGTATCTCCCAACCGACACATGTCCCCTAAATAACGTAACGACGTACTTCCAATAGTCTCCAACTTCTCTCTTCGTATAACCTCGGCATTGTTGTAACTTTGAAGTTCTATTACTTCTGCGAGAACGTAATTCGCATTCTCGCAGAAGTAATAGAACTTCAAAGTAACGACGTACGTCCCAAAATAACGCGGTCTTGTGTGTAATAAGTGCTGCACTCTACTTACGCTCTATACACATCTATAGGGAGGATTTTGAATGAACTTCAGTTTACCCAACAAGCTGCATGGGAAGGACAAGTCAGACTCTAGCTGCCCATAAAGATTGAAGTGAATCAACTCAAACCTTATAGGCGGCTGTTCCACCGTACTTCTTCTGAACTGCACCAACCAATTTGTAGGTTTCAGTGAGAGTATAATTTGATCCGAACAGTTCCATGCATTGGTCGGAGAAGAAGCTGATCAAGAATACGGTACCAAACATTTGATGAGAAACTACAGGCTTCTGAAAACTCACTCCACTGGAATAGTGCTACCGAAGATGCCATTAGCGCCATAATCTGTGGTTTGGAAATAGCCGAGCTGCGTGCATGTTTGCCATATCCAACTACGTGCCGCAACTGGAAAGTCACAAATTAGGCACCATTAACCCTTACTGCCCCAGTCATCCGAATTGAGACCGGTTTTTGACCGACTCTTTTCTCCGCGAGCAGAGGCGAACATTTTAACGGGCGATGAAATTTGCCGTTCGTGTAGGACC